AGGAAAGTCTCTGACTAAATTCTATACTCATACTTGTCTTGTTCTTATCCCCAAAAATGCTTCCCCTTCAACTTTTAATGAATTTTGACCTATTAGCCTTTCTAATTATACTAACAAGATTATCACTAAAATCCTTTTTATTAGGATGAACCCTTTGCTTACTAAGTTAATCTCTGCTAATCAAAGTGGTTTTGTTAAGGATAGACTTATTACTGAAAATGTTCTTTTAGCTCAGAAAATTATTCAATCTATCTCTAATACTAATAAAGGTGGTAATGTTGTAATGAAATTGGACATGGCTAAAGCATATGATAGAATGTCTTGGAACTTTGTCACTGCTGCGCTTAGGAAATTTGGTTTTGCGGAAATTCGGATTGACATGATCTTTAATCTTCTGTCTAGTAATTGGTATTCTATCATCATTAACGGTATAGGAAAGGCTTTTTAAAATCAAGTCAGGGTCTAAAACAGGGTGACCCCCTATCTCCCTCCTTATTCATCCTTGCTACTGAAGTACTTTCTTGCTCCCTGAATTACCTTTTGCTAGATAATAATTTTATTCCTTTCTCTATTCCACTTAGATGTCCACACATTAACCACCTAGCATATGCTGATGACATATTTATCTTTTTTGGTGGCAATAGCAACTCTATTAATCTCATCATGAATATTCTTCATAGTTATGAAAAAAGTTCTAGTCAAAAGGTTAACAAGGATAATTTTTTTTTTCTTAACTGCTCCTAAAACTACTGATGTTAGAATTAATAGAATCAGGGACTGTACCGATTTTATAGACAAGGAATTTCCTTTAACCTATTTGGGATGCCCCATTTATATTGGAAGAAAAAAGACTGCCTACTTTGATGGCATGGTTAACAGTATTGTCAAGAAACTTAATGGCTGGCATGGAAAATTGCTTTCATATGGAGGTAAAGTTATTCTCATCAAGAATGTGCTTCAAGCCCTCCCTACTTATTCTCTTTCTGCTATGTGTCCTCCAAAAGCCACTTTTAAACTTATTAAGAAACATCTTGCCAATTTTTTCTGGGGATACTATCGGGATCAAAAGAAGTATCACTGGAGATCCTGAAAAAATCTATGTTATCCTCTTGAAGAAGGTGGGATTGGGATTAGAAGAATGCAAGATATTGCCAATACTTTAGCCACCAAAAGATAGTGGAGGTTTAGAACTATCCCTTCTCTGTGGGCTACTTTCATGAACCAAAAATATTGTGCTAGAGTCCATCCATTGATTAAACACAATATATCTGGTAATTCTCACTCATGGCAGAAGATGATTCAAGTCAGAGACAAGGTTGAACCTCACATTATATGGCATATCAACTCTGGAAACTCAAGTATATGGTGGGATAATTGGACTAAAAAAGGACCTTTAGCTTCCTTATTTCCAAATGCCAACAAAAGCTACAAAATACTTATTAAAGATTTTATTCAAGATGGCAACTGGAATATCCAAAGGCTCAAAGATTTGTTTCCAGATGAGCTCATTCCCCATATAGAAAATATCAACATTGGTAGGCATGATCTGCCCGACCAAGCCTTTTGGGATCTTACTAATAATGGTAAGTATCCTAATAAGACAACTTTACATCTGTTCAGAGACACAAAGGAGAAAGATTAGTTCCTTACAAAGGTATGACACTCTAGCATTCCTTTTAAAATTTCTTTCATAACATGGAGATTGTGCTTATCTAAATTTCCTTTTGATGATATTATCCTTAATTTTGGTAAGAATATTATTTCTAATTGTAACTGCTGCACTAACCCAAAAAAGAGACTATGCAACTTGTTGAGAGTGATGCAACTAGGTATATTTGGAAAGCTATAGGATCCCCTCTGGGAATTATTCCTATGTAATTTCCAATTAGAGAATTAATAAATCATTGGTGGCTACAGAAATTCAAGAATGCTCTTCACAAACTTGCTCTCCAAATCATCCCTATTATAATATGTTGGGAGATGTGGAAGAGTATATGTTCTTGCAAATATGGTGATAAAAAGAGGTTCAACTACTATAAGATGAAGCAACAGATTGACTGGAATACTAAAGATGCAATCAATAGAGCTTTCCCAAAATGCAAGCTAATATTGCCTTGGGTCAACTTTTGTGACAACATGATGAAACTTCAACCTATTTCTAAGGCTATCTCAGTATGCTGGAATAAATCTAAATATGGAGCCATTAAAGTAAACACCGATGGAAGCTTTATTCATGGTAATGGAAAAGCGGGATTGGGAGGAGTAGTGAGAAATGACCAAGGAGATCTCATTATGGCCTTCTCAATTCCTTCAAAATGCAGCAGCAATAACATGGCAGAGGCTCAAGCTGTTATGTTTGGCATTAATTTGTGTGTACAAAATGGAGTTCTCAGACTTCACAATTGAATTGGACTCAATGTTGGTGATGAATATGCTCAAGGAGGGTGATACCAACAACTATAGGTTGAAGATGATCACAAAGGATACTTCACATATAATGAACCAGGCCAATATTAGCCCTGTGCATTGCTTCAGGGAGGCAAATGAAGTAGCAGATTTTCTAGCAAAATTAGCGACTGCTAACTCTGAAGCCAAAGTATACCTTTCTTTCCAACAACTCCCAAAAGGAACTAAAGGTTCTTTTATGCTTGACAAACACCAGATGCCTACTGTTAGACTTAAATATGACAAAACAATATTTTTTTTTAGCTAAGTAGTAAATGTCTTATACTTTAACAGAGGCGCAAACTAATGTAACAACCTTTGTTGGATGTATATCAGTGTGTTGTAATCCTTGGGGGTAAGGCTCACATCCCCCTCCTATCTTTCGAAAATAAATACAACACCCGAAGAAGCATTAAAAATTCTAAAAAAAAAAAAGACTCTACAAGGAAAATAGAACAAATCATGCTTATTGTATTCACTCTTTAATGATGGAACAACATTACATTACGGAGAGGCCCCCTGATGGAGCAGTCCAATTTTTTTATATTCTTACCATGAGCAATTTATTTATTTATTTAGAATATTGTAGAAGCTTTTTCTGATCTAGTATTGACCAAGTTCGAAGGGTTTATTTGGAATGCCATCCATTAATTTTAGAGTAAATTTCATGGGCGGTCATTCAACTTTGTGTTCATTACCCAAAAGTCACTTTTCTTTTTTTGTTACACAAAAATTATTTTACTATGCTCTAGTTATCACAATAATTACTTTGACCAGATTTTACAAACCTTTAACCTGAAAAGTCTATTATGCCCTTGACATTATAAATCCTCCCATTTATGTAATACCTTATATATTATATGCTATATAATATACTTTTACCCATGCATTTTACTTAATAAAAATAACTTAATATTATTTTTATAATATATTCGTGTATAGGCCAAAATCCGTCCTTAGGAAATTTAGCGTAATATGGCATTGAGGAAAGAGTCGGTCGAGCTCGCCCAAGATGCAACAAAGTATTGGCCGAGGTGTCGACATGAGTCGTAATCGAAATGTTGACAGGAGTCGTAGTCGAGATGGTCAACAAGGGTCGATGTCGAGATTGATTATTGAGATAAGACTTGTAACGACTAATTTGTTAGGATAGGATATTAAGAGAGAATATTCTAGGGGATATTCCCTTTATTTGTACTATTAGGGTTTTTGAGGAAAAGACCCCATATATATAGAAAAAAGAGACAATGATAGGGGCATGTAATATTCATTTGATAAGAATACTTTTGAGAATAAGATTCTCTCTCTTACAAGAATACAAAGATTACCTTTTGATAAAGATTCTTGTTCATATTATTCCCCGCCTTTTCACCAGATCCGAGAATTGTTCATACAAATCTTGGACCTTTCTGTCACTCATCATTGTCAGGAGAAATATTCGTCTAATCCAGACATTATTGGGTGAATCATTCTCTTTATTTACTTAAATTTTATTTATTGCCATTTATTGTTAGTTATATCTCCATTAATGTTCATGCATCAAGAGTATTTTGTATTTATTGTCATCTATCATTTACAAGATCTGTCCACATCTCCTGTGCGTTTCCGAGATTAGTATCTAGAGTTATTATCCTTAACTAGATTTAAACCCTTATTATATAAATTAAATAGTTTAACCGGAAATTACACTTTTTGGTCAAACAATTCCTACATTTAATTTTCTTAATATTAATTTTCAAGATATATAAGTACAATTATTAAATTTGTCAGTAACATTACCATGAACAAATCTCAAGTCCACATTCTTAATCATGTTTAATGAAATATGTTTAATGAAATTTAAAAAAATCAAAGTTCATTGATTTATCAGCCAAGCCATAACAATTAATTTAATAAATAAAATACCCACATTTAGCAAAATGACACATCAATTTAATACTTTCAAATAAATAATATTACCAGATAAAGCTTTAAAAAACTTAATATGAAACATAAATATCTTTGAAACTTTTTTTAATTTTTTTATTGACTATAAAAAACTATCATTTGTTAAAAAAATCTGTTTTTATTATTTTAAATAAATATTAAAAAATAAATATTTTTTTTTTATCATTTTTATATTTAAAATATGTTCATGTTTGATTATGATTAAACAAATTGAGTGATGTGAAAAAAATTAAATGTATGGATATATTATAAAAATAATAGATAAAATAATTTAAAGTTATTTTAATTATAAATAAAATACCTAGGTAAAAATATATTATATAGTATATAATATAGAAGGTATTATATTTAGGATTTATAATGTTAAGGACATAATAGAATTTTCAAGTAAAAATATTATAAAATCTGACCAAGGTGACTTTTGTGAGAAATAGAGCAAAGCAAAATAATTTTTGTGTAACAAAAGAAAGAAAAGTGACTTTTGGGTAATGAACACAAAGTTGAATGATTTTTATGTAACAAAAACAAGAAAAGTGACTTTTGCGCAATGAACACAAAGTTGAATGACCACCCGTGAAATTTACTCATTAATTTTGCAAGGTTTTAATGCAATTCAGCAGTTCAGATTCAACCATAAGCTACAATACATGTTTTTTACCAACATTATTCAGCATTTCTGCAGGAACTTGGATGTACGGCATCACTATATATATATGCTACTGCGAGAAATCAAGAATCATCTGACAAAAAATTGGGATAATTCTGTATGAACTTGTTCTATGATTTGATCATAAAGTTTCATCAGTATTGTTTATTTTCTCTTTTATACAACAATTTTGGATAGGACAACAGATACTGCTAAAAGACAGCTTTTTAAGCCTTTGATGTGAAGTTGAAATTGGCACATGTAGTTTGGCGGAACAAAAGGGATGAGCTGAAACCAAGTGTTGATCTTGGAAGGTCAAATTGTAGAAGATTGTCCTCCAGTTGATGTCCTCCTATTACTATTGAAGTAGTGGGTTTAATCCCACCATTCACAAATCCTAAACATATCACATCTTGGCTAACTTCCACCATTGAATTTGAACCAAAAATCCTCCAATAGACTTGTTTACTCTGCAACATGAGATCGATGGCAGGAACAGCTTGTCCGACCTTTGCACTAGCAATATTTTTTGAGCTGAAACAAGTCTCAAAAGGTGCCACAGCAGTCACTCTGGTCACATTAGAAAGTTCTTGAACTAAAGCTTTAGTCACAGCATCATAGATGGAAGTTTCTAAGATTGAATAAGGACTCCCTGTGCTGATTTTTGTTCCACCATTTCCCCTCTTGTCAATTGAGAGCAATTTTTTGTTAATTGGCACTGGTTTTCCATTCAGTCTAATAGATTTCACTCCAATGAAGTACTCTGAAGAAGATTCATTTAGGAAAGGAACTGATCCAGTACCAAAAGGATTGATGATCAATGGTATAAAGATGAGATTTTTAGAGATATCAATATTTGGAAGCATCATATAAGGCCCATCACCAAAAAATATGACACCAGATGATTTGGTGGATGAACTCAAACAAAGAGCAAATTTTCTTGGAAAGCTGAAGACTTGAGCTAGTTGGGAAGGAAGTGCGATACCATTCCTTCCCAATCCAACAGTTCCTTTCACTCCACTCGCTAGACCTTCAGTCAAGAATGTAGGAACGCAAGTGAAAATGAAGCTTGGGATCTTAACAAACTTACCAGGATTTGATCCATCAGTGGATTGTATCGATAAAACGTCTTCGGTAATTTCGCCACCATCATATAAAGTCTTGATGAATGGATTTTCAGGGGTGTTATAACATGCATTATTGCTGCACCCAATTCTGGGAGTGGTGTTGCAGTCTCCACAAGTGTTAACTTTGGCGAGGGTACATTGAACTGAGCCACAACGAGCAGGTCGATAAGTGGAACTCACATAACCATCTTCACAGTCTACCCATAAAGTTTGTCCACCAAGATGTATTGTCAACTTGATGGGCACAAGAGGAGTTCTTTGACCAATTTGGGTTGTGTATTGGAGAGTAGAAGAGTCTTTGGTCACAGGAAGGAGTAGAGCTTTAGGCTGAAAAGCAGTTTGGCCTATGCAAGAAGAAATGGAAAGGAGAAGTGAACAAATGAGGGTCAAATAGTAGCTACTGAAAGCCATGATACAAGATTAAGATGTGATACAAGTCTGAAATGATGAAGATTAATGTGATGATTTATAGAAGCATATATTTCAAGTCAACTCCACATCTTATTTAAGTTAATGATCTTTAGAAATAGATATGACACATGCATGTGTCGATGAGGAAGTAAGTAAGTTGGGTGCAGACTCAGCGAATTGGGATACAGCTACGTAAGTTGACATTTGACTTTTGAATACTCCACTCGTTCGGAGGTTTTTTCCGTTCTTCCTCTTTGACGAGTAATTTAATCAATTGTCGATCTTAATTCTTAAATCAGCCTGCTTCTAGTTATCTTTCTGAATATAGAAATGAGATAAGGGTAAGTGGGAACAAGGACAAAAAAAGGTGCACATTGACTTTATAAGGAAATCTTAATGAGGCGAGTGGAGAATATCTATATTGGCGAAAACATCGGTAAGGGCTCATTCCAAAGAGTACCATTCGATTAACTTAAGCAAATTACATATTTTCTTGGGAACTAAACAACTGAGCAAATTGGGAAGGTGCTCCTTCATAGATCTCAAGTCCCTATAGCACATTTTGCAAGACATGGGGATAGAACTAAAACACAGCTGAATGGTAATTTGGCATCGTGATAATTTGGTGCCCACTCTAGAAAAAACACACCCTCAACACTGTTCAACTTCCAATGTCAGTATTAATGAAGAGGTTTTCAGGAGTATTGTAACAAGCATGATTTTGTACATTGTCCAACTAGCGTAGTTCTGCTCAGAGTCCATCTAGCAAGAAATCAATTGGAAAACACGAGCAATAGGTTCAATTGTTTGATCCTATATTTTTTTCCTTCTGCTCTTTCCGCTCTATGTCACAACGAAGTAAGAAATAAAGATGCATATTGTGTCACAATGAATGTAAGAAATAAAGATGCATATTGTGAAGGAAAACACTACGTTACTGCAACACCAACAACTAATCTTTTAGATTTTTAGGAGCTCGAATTAGCCTTTATTAGACCAGTCCAAGTCAGATCAACAACAACATACCCAATGTATTTTCACAAGTAGGGTCTGGGAAAGGTAGTATGCACGCAAACTAGTGAAACGAAAATATGGACGAAAGACAAGCAATTGTAATTGCTAAATACTACTCTAGAGAAATAAGACAGGAGTACCCATTTATATTACCTAGGTTCACGTTGATTGATCTGCATCTACAAATTACATACTAGTATTAGACATTGGACCACGAATCAGGAAGCAAGTGAAATAACAAGAAGTACCTAAAATTCTGAAAGAGAGTACTTAGAAGTTTTTAGCAAGGGGCATCAAACAGATGAGGCAGTTAATCTTTCATAATATTCGTACTTCCTTCGGAAAGGGGGGAGGGGAATAGAGATTCGGTCTTAATGAGAATGGACTCTGAAGCTCAGAATGAATATCAGACTTCCTCTTCAGATAGCCATGAGATCACCATACTGGCGCATCAAAATGATGGAACCAGCAAAGAGAGCTGAAGCTCGAAGCAGTTTCTGAAAAAAGGACATGCAAAAAATTAAAAGATAGATAGGACCAAGACAAAAATCCTATGATTATTTAAGCAAGCTATATAAAAACGTAATGTGAGAAATGTTGATAAAATCATACACAATTCAGAACCTGAAAAGCAGCTTATTCTGCAAAATTAACTACTTCGACCCACCCCCATCAAAAAGGGGAAAGAAGATAAGGAAAAACAAGCAGTTAAAACAAAGTTCTGGTTGAGAAATTCACAGTTTTCCTAAACAAGGCAAAACTTGATTAAATGAAGAGAAGAAAAAGAGAAGTTAACCCCACGTCATATGCTAGGTGGATCTTAAAAATTAGTAGTTATATCATCACATAGCATATCAGAATTATAAAAAGAAGAGTGTGTGTATGGCGTACTAATAAGTAATAACAGATAAAACAAGAATCAATCAAATGGAGTCTAGGCTAGCACTCCAAGTCACCACCATCCCTTATTTACCACAAAGAGCACAAACAACATAGCAAAACAAAATAAAGTATTCATTAGCAGATCATTTAAACAATTAGAGGACCTGATATCAGGTAATTTAGTCCGGAGAGTCAGAATGGGCAAGTTGCAACTTCATCCTTGCTAGTAGCAACAAGAAGGGACCATTGTTCAGGAAAATATGCACTCTGTAGGCTCAATTTTTGATCCCAAAAACATCAAACCCAATCAGAAACTGTATTTGCATGTTCAAAAATTAAGAATCTACTTCCAACTAACACCACATTTTAGTTATCAAAGAAGTTCAATTTGCACACGGTGGGCAGGGCAGATCTTCTATCTCTCGGCTAAACTTCAGTCTATTCAGACTCTGGACAAGGTGAGGCATCTCATACTCACAGTTTGAAATTTATAGTTCTATTTTTATACGGCGTACTTTCAGTGAGATCTGTATTATGAAACAATTTCACAAGAACACCAATGAAGATCATATTTCATCAGTAGGTTTTAAGTGCATCGCAATTTCCTCCTAATTTGTCTCAAAATCTCTTAAAATCCAGATATAACAGATTTGACTTTTCACGAGTAGATCCAATCAAAAACACTTCCCTTGATTTATTAGTTCGATAAGTCAAATCACTGATAAATTCCAAAACTAAAAGAAGACAAAACAAGCATCGATGAATATTCCTATGCTTAATGATATACATATGGGATCGTGTATTCAAGGAGTAAGAGAAAATCAGGAAGAGGAAATACCACATTGAGATTTCCAATGAAGCTCATTTAGAGTGAAGAGATATCTTTTAGGGGTTAGAGTTTTAACTCTTAGGGTTTGATTTTAGAGGCCAATTTGATATATGGGTAGACAATTGGTCTCACTAGCAAGAGGATCATTCTATTATTTTTGATCCAACATAATTTGATTTTTAATATATTATCAGAATAATTCATGGTTTCTTGGTTTCTGAAGGCAATATTTATGGAAGTATACTAGAGCGATCATACTGATACCATGTTGTAAAAATATCAAAAGAATAATAATATAAGGAGATGTTGCAAAAATATTGACGGGTAGAAGTGAGACTATTTTATTCTTTCAAGTGTGTCCTTCAAAAGGTAAAGAACACCTTTTATATGATGCAAAAACCATCCAAGAGTTACAAATATTAATGAAACATTACTTTGATGCATATATAACTATTGAGTCCATTGAATGGACATCTACAATTACGTGGATTCATAATACACACCCCCTTGGATGTTCTTTAAGAAATATGTGCCGCGTTAAAATAGTACTAGGAAAACACCCTGTAGGAAGAAAGTCCTGTAAAGGAAAAAGAACACGCATATCTAGTAATGGACGTTCAAGAGTGAGTTATGAATCCACTTATTTGTGAATGCTCATTCAATAGACTTTTTAATTATACATGCGCCAAATTCATGTTTCATTTAATATTTTAACTCTTGGATGTTTTTTGCTTTGTATAAATGGTGTTCTACACTATTTAAAAGACAAACTTGAAAGAGAATAAGAAAAGTCTCATCTCTATCTCTCAATATTCTTGCAACATCTTTTTACATTATTGTCTTTTACTTTTATTTTACAGCACATTATCAGCACGATCCCTCTAATTTGTATTCATAAATATTTCCTCCATTGCCTTCGGCAACTATCAAACCCAGACATTAAAGGCAGAAACAAAAAGTTCTTGGTATGCTTTTTTCATCGACACATACAAGTTCTCGTGGGGAATGGTATCATGGAAGCTTTTATGAAGGTAACACCAAATTTCCAGAATGTACAAATGACATAAGGAGAAAGCGATAGCTTTAAGAAAAGCAACACTAAGCAATGGCAAAAAGTTTTGGTTTTTGGTTGAACTTATGGAGAGGGCAGAAAGAACAAAAAAGGGACAGAGGACCAGATAGAGAGGGAGGATGGAAGGAGAATTGTGTTTACTTTTTTTAAGGAAAGACAGAAGAGCCCTCTTACTAAAATATTGGTAACGTGTTGTCAGAGACATTTAATTTTAAGCAAAAAATGGGTGCAATGCTAACCTACTACACAACCATAATAAGTTAGCATTATACCCATAGTTTAGTTTCCTTAAATGTCCTTAACAACATATTAAGAAGTGTTGGTGTAAGGGAGTTTGTCGGCTTTCCACCAAAAATCTATACCCAATTCTCCTTCCTTCTCTCTTCCTCCTCTCGCTTTACTTTATTCTCTCATATTCAGCCCCATACTGAAGCTCTTTCATTGCCAATTATTGTTTTTCTCCATCAACCATTAACGCGTCTAAAACCAATACTTGACAAGAACTCACTGCTTCTCATGAAAAATCAAAGCCAGAAATCTCTGTTTCTGGGCTATGTAAAAGCATAAACCTTCTTCTCACATCTCGTGGAAGATCAGATTGTCATTTCTATTCGGACTAGTTTATTTTATTTCTTTACAACAAAATATTCTTTTCCTCCAATAATAATGTTTTGTTTCGCTAGTTGACGAAGAGAAATGACGCAAATGACTTGCGTTGTCTGATTGAAGAAATGCTGGTGGCTGACAACACGTCCCTATTATTAATGTGCTAACAAGGCCATATAAGGAAATTAATGGATACAATGTTAACAACTAAAGCAATACAATAGATTAGTAAAACCCATATATAAACGAATATGTGTGTACGTCCGTTAATGAGTCTTAATTTATTCTCCATATGCATTAAGAAAATTGATGATTTGAACAATAAGGACAGTCAAAAGTATGTTCACAAAGCAACAACGAATAAGAGTGAAAGCTATGCAACTTGATCGATTAGATGCATTAACCAAATACTCAAGAGGATGATCTTATGTGCTTTGTGAAACATGATCTTAGGGTCGATTTGATGGTTTACAAGAATTAACAAGTTAATTGAAGAATTCTCTGTTTATTTAATTTTTAATGCAGCTGAATGTTTATTGAACTTATTAATTCTAATAACATGTTTCACAAAACATCAGCAAATCAACCAAATTGTCAATCATAGCTTTCATCCTAATGATTTCTAATCTTATCTCGAATCTCTTAAAATCCAAATATAACAGATTTAACTTTTCTTGACATGTAAAACACTTCACTTCCTTCATTCGTCAATTTGATAAGCCGAATATCCTATAAAATTCACAGCAATGGAAGAAGACAAATCAAAGACAGAAGCATATTCCTCGCTGGTAACTGATATGTATATATGAGTAACGTGAATTAAAAAAATATGACTAGAAAATATGAAAAAGGAGATACCATGTTGAGATTCCACTTTTCTTCGTCATGAACCTGAGAGTGCCAGAAAGCTTTGATCTTGTCCCCTGATATCACAGAGTCCGCCATTGAAGCTCGTCTATAGTGGGAGAGCGAGAGTAGCATATATACTTTTAGGGGTTAGGGTTTTAACTCTAGGGCTCGGGTTTTAAGAGGCCAATTTGTGATATGGGGCAGGCAAGCGGGTTCAACCAGCAAGGGTATCTTAAGAATTTCGTGCAATTTAGGTTTTTCTTCTTTCCATCAAATTATACTCCACTATTATCTTTTAATATAATTTGATTATTACCAATTACCAATATTTTATCAGAGTGAATTCGACTTTGTTTTTCATGTGGTAGCAAATAAAGATAATTAGAAAGTACTCTGGTTAATTGAAGATTTAATTACACTGGACGTTATTGAACTTGTAGTTTATTGTATAAAAATCATCAAACTAAATTTTCAAACAAAAGTGTCCTAAATATTCTTAAATATTAATTTAGCCAAACAAAGTGAAGATTGGCCGGAGTCATTCAAACATATTTTTAGGGAATAAATTTCTTGAATGGTCACCGTATCTCACCAAATTTTTTTTTTTTTCTTTTACGACAATAAAGTCAATAAATTATTGCATTTTACTCGAAAATAAATACCACGAATTTAAACGCCGTGTTATATTAAAACTCAAAATTTTAACAATAAAATTCATTTAATCCATGACCCTTATATTTTTCACTAGATTGAT